TCTCACATCTCTTTCTCTCTCCCTTTTTCTTTCTTCCCTTCTCTCTTTCTCCCTCAATCTTTCTCCCTCTTTCTCATCTCTCTTTCTCCCTCTCTCTCATCTCTCATCTCTTTTTCTTTCTCCCCCCTCTCTCTCATCTCTCTCTCTCTCTTTCTTTTTTTCTCCCTCTCTGTTTCTCATCTCTTTCTCTCTCATCTCCTCTCTCTCATCTCTTTTTCTTTCTCCCCATCTCTCTCATTTCTCTCTCTCTCTTTCTTTCTCCCTCCCTCCCTCTCTTTCTCATCTCTCTCTCATCTCTCATCTCTTTTCTTCCCTCTCCCTCCCTCTCTCTCATGTGTGTGTGTGTGTGTGTGCGCGCGTGTGTTCCCTCTTTAACCATTCCCAAAAACAGGCGAGGGTTGGTATTGTTTTTGTTTTTTTGCTGATGTTGTTCTTTCTTCTTCTTTGGGTGCTTTTTACCATAAGATTTAAATCAAGAGTCATTTCAGGTTCCCAGATAAGTGAAGATCTTTCATCCCGCTGCTGTGGCTTCCTGTCAGCTGTCTGCCCCCCACCCCACCCCTCACCCTCCCCTCCCAATTAGTCCTCACCAGTCCTGAGAAGGGCGACTGCGGCTGATGGAGACCCATTCCATATTCCAGGATGGGAGCAAAGCACTCCTCTACTTGCCTCTTTTTCTGGCCTTTGTTGGGAGGCACACAACTTTTCTCCGCCCAGAGACACTGGCTGGGCCATTTGAAGCTGATGCTTCGCATCCTCAAGGACTCCAGGAGGAGGAGTTGGGAATGCTGTCTGCCCCATTGTGAAATGTGCTAAGTTTAACTACTGTATGTAATGAACAAAGTATTTAATAAGGCTATTTCATTCATTCAGATCTTGGATGTCTTCTGCTTGTGTTCCCTTTATTTTTTTGAGCAGTGTATATTCAAGTATTACTTTTGAAAACAATACACCAAATATTCTTGTCTAAATAAAAATTGTGATGGTGTTGTTCTGAAGAGATGAGTTATCAACTGGGGAATAAACTTGAATCATTCAGAATCTCTTAGCACAGCTTAATTCACATTTTTTTTACAATAGTAAAACAAAGAAAGGAAAATATTCTCTGCATTGAGTTACTTGGAAAAAAGAAGAGAAATGAATGTGGTATATATGAATATTATTTTACTTTTGTTGTCTTGTATACCACTATGGAGATCATTAATATTTTACATCACTTTTCCACTAGACAAACTTTGTTAATCATTATTTAAATTGGATATTTCTTCCTGAAAACTGCTACTGGCCATCTTCATAAATCAGTCTTTCTCAACATTAATTCCTCAGATATGTCAAAATTATAGTTCTCATTGCCTATATAAGGTGAGGATGATGGAAATTATAATCAAGCACTTTTCTCAATCAAGATTGGGAAACACTGCCATTGGCCACTGTTTCTTGGAGCTACCTGGGTCAATATGTCCCTCAGCAGAAGCAGGAATGGACTCAAACTCAAGACCAAGTTGATTCATATCCCCTACTTTACTGTCAATGTGCAGTTGCATATAGATCTACTTTAGTGTGCAAATATATATCTTCAAAACAGTTAACACTCATATTATATTCAAGGAAAAATAATGCTATTTTAAGGTTATAATTCTATACTCATGACATGGGTATTCATAGTCATAGGTTAAAAAAAAGTCTAAATAGCACAACATGATCAAAACTTTACACCCTGAGAAAAAGGAATATTTGTGTTTCTTATCTAAAGAACATAGCATACTTGGGACTTGGAGTAGTTGAAATCTAATTAATAAAAAAATTAGGTTACAAAAATTTCTAAAAGCTCAGATTTATACTGAAGAAGTCCTGCAGAATACAGGTAGCCCTCAACTTACAAACACAACTGAACCCAAAATTTGTTAAGTGAGATATTGGTTAAGTGAGTTTTGTCCCATTTTATGTCATTTCTTGTCACAGTTGTTAAGAGAATTGCAGCAGTTGATAACTTAGTAACACGGTTTTATGTGAATCTGACTTCCCCATTGATTTTGCTTGTCAAAAGGTTGCAAAAGATGTTCACATGATCTTGGGACACAGCAACAGTTATGAGTTAGTTGCCAAGCATCTGAATTTTGATCACATGATCATGGGGATGCTACAAAGGTCATAAGTGTGAAAAACAGTCAAGTCACTTTTTTCAGTGCGGTTGTAACTTTGAATGGTCACTAAATGAACTGTTGTAAATCGAAGACCACCTGTAATCCCTAAAGACTATTCCTAATTCTAAGACGTCAACTTCAGAAATAGTCTCTCGAATTTCCAAAGTGTTCATACAAACATCTTATTTTCTTTATTTTTTTTTTGTTATTTCTAACATATCTTGGTGGCTTATTTTATCTCTAGTAAGAGTACACCAGTAAGTACTGTATAATGGGTTAATTATTTGTGCATTAAAACACTCTATGATCATATAATAGATCCTATATTTAGTTACTGATTGAGACTTCAAACAATTTAAGTGACTATAGTACTGTCAGCTTGGAGAAATAAATTGTTCTTAAAACCAAACTTCATGTAGAAGAAAGTTACCATAATTGTCAACTGGAAAATACTTAAATACAATTGAACCCAAATTGACAATCTCTTTCTTACTGAAGCAATTTTCTAGTACCATTAACCTTAAAACACTGATAAAAATTCAGCAATGGAATTCTGCACATAATCTAATATCTTACAGTATATAGAGTGTTCATATCTTCCTTTTCGATTGGGAGTCACATCTTATGATAAAGATGATAGTTAAAATGCCTATGTTATGGGCCTTGAACAACATTTCAGGAATGCACCAATCCGGCAGGCAGAACACTTTAAAATTAGGATATACCTCTGTGGCTGGCTTTTGCAGAGTCTCACATTGGCTCACCAAGCCTTAGTCGGACTAGAGACCCAGCTGAATCCTTGTTATAGCAACAGATCAATGATCTAATAATGGTGTATTATATATTAATTATATCCACTACATTCATAAAACTTGCTAAATAAAAGCATGGGTGGCTTGTTCGTGGTTTATTATCTTATGCGAAAACTACCTAACCACATTGCCCAATGCTGGTGTGTTGGTTGGATGAGATAAGGCCTTTAATTTGTCAATTAACATTTTGCATATTTAGAATGTAAAAACTTATTTGATTATTACTGTAGCAGCAAGAAAGCATGGTACATATATTTAAGGTACAACATTATCCTTCAAGTTCTAATACTAAACAAATATTCAAAATGGACAGGGACTCAAGAAATGTTCTGAAGGCAAAACAAATCTAAAGACTAAGATTTCAGACTGAAAATTGCAATGTAGGCTCATGACATTTCACATTTTAATTTCAAATACCAATTGCACCCATTATCAAACTGGATAAGGAAGACATAGATGCTGTCCTTTAGTGTGTTCCAGGAACAATGATATCCAAATGAAAGTTGTGGTGGATTCCTCCTAAATTAACTGTAAAGTATATAATGTCAGACCTGGAAGTCATCTTTTACATTTGGGCCTTCAGGCCTGCCACATTTTCTACTGGGGGAAAGTCAATATAAAATGTTTTATAGATGGCATATGCCCCCTGAGAAACTGGCAAAAAATGTTTAAAGATAAATCAGCTAAATGTTGGAAATGCCACCAGTTACCAGGTTCATATTACCACATGTGGTGGATATGCCCTGAAGCAAAAAGCTACTGGAATAAAATTAAGTTATGGGTGGAGGAAATGATACAACAACGTAGACTTAAAATCAGAACTATTCCTATTGGGTATCTTACCAGAGAAAATTAGTAAAGATAAAATATATTTGATTATACAGGTAATAACAGTGGCAAGGATTGTTTATGCACAAAATTGGAAAGTAGAGAATATACTTTCGGAGGGAGAAGTAATTTAAAAATGTTTAGATTGTGCAGAAATGAATAGATTAACTATGATGATAAAGGAAAGAGAAGATTCAGAATATTTTAAGATATGGAATAAATTTTATTATTGGTAAGAAAAGAGATACAAATAAGTTCTTGAAAAGAGATTGGAAAAAAATTGTTGTAATTACAATATTATATTAGTGGAAAAGTTTTGTAATGGACTTGGTGAGATTGAAGACAGAAGAGGTAGAGAAGAGAAGAAACTTTTGAAGATAACACCAAAATGTCACATGGAAGAAATGAATGATGTACTAAATGTTTGTTTAAATGTTTAAATGTTTTAAAAAATAAAAAAATGTTTAAAAAAATAATTTTTTTAAAAAAAAATTAAAAATGTTTTAAAAAAACTTTTTTTTTTAAAAAAAGGACGAATGCAGTGCCAATGGATGTCAGCCCCGGTCCAGCAACTGATGCCTCCCCAGCCACTCGGTCCTTTACAGCAACTGACCATGACTTCACAACAAGCACCTGTCCAGCTGCAGCCACAACTGCAGCCCCAGGTCATAATCGCGAACAGGCTCAGGCCCAGCAGCAAGTGCCGGTGGCCCCACAGCAGGTCCCAGTCCAACAGCAGGTGCCCAGTCAACCGCCTGTGCAAGGCCAGCAAGAGGCCCAGCCCGCCGGACCTCCCTCATGGTTCCAAGCGACATTTGATGGAACCCCTGGGAAGTTAGCCTAGTTCCTCAACTGGGTCTGGGCCCATATTGACCAATATGGAAATCAATACCCATCTGACTGGGAATTGATTTCTGCCATCACTGATGGCATGAATGAGGGAGAGGTGTTGGGAGTGCATAGCTGAGCTTCATGATGAAGAAGCCCATGAGCTAGAAGATGCTGACAAGTTCATCCAACTGATGCAAACCAGATTTAGCAATGTTGCCCAGCAAGTGGAAGCAGAGACCCAGATTAAAGCCTTAAAGCAAGCCAGCAGGCCCGTGAAAGAGCTAATTTGAGAGTTTCAAAGACTAGCTGGGAAACTATGAGAGTGCCCAGAATGCCTACTGGTGCAAACCTTCAAGGAGGCTCTGGACCCAGACCTTAGGCAAGCCTGTGGCATCAGGGGAGTACTGGAACAAATACAACTGTGGTACAACACAGCTTCATTTTGGATCTGGAAATTTACCCCCACAGGAAGCCGACTGTGGATTAACCCGCCAGGAGTCTCCTGGGACGCTGAGCCCAGGTGAAAAAAGCTGAAGTGCCACCTCCCACATCGTCTGGAACTGTCAAGTGCTACAGATGTGGCCAACATGGGCACCGGGCTGCAGAATGCTTGGCCCTGGCCCCAGTTCCCCGAACTCGACCTCCAGCCATGACTGCAACATGGAGGACCCTGCGGAAGCTGCCCAACAAAGGACAATTCACTAGACAGGCTATGGAAGTTCCGCTCCTCCAAAATGAACTCCAACCAGCGAAACTCCTCCAGTCCCCATAGGGGAAAGCAGCAGTGATGACAACCCAATGGTAAGTGCAGCCATCCACCCCTTTACCGTCAAAACCAAGATAACAGTGCCAGAAACCAGTGTCCAAGGGGAAATAGGGCCCGTCATAGACATGGGCTGCACATAATGTTTAATCAGCCTCCCCATAATTGAACAATTAGGCATACACACGAGACCCCTAGCATGCCCTATCCGCTTTGAGCAGGTTGATGGGACACTAATCGGCAGGACTCTTAGTACTGCTTAGAATGCAGTACTGACAGCTACTTCTACTGACAGCTCACTGACTGCAGTTTGGCAGTTCAAATCTCACCCAGCTCAAGGTTGACTCAGCCTTCCATCCTTCCAAGGTCGGTAAAATGAGGACCCAGATTGTTGGGGGCAATATCCTGACTCTGTAAACCGCTTAGAGCGGGCTGTGAAGCAGTATATAAGTCTAAGTGCTTATTGCTAATTATTTTTAAAAAGGCTATTATTTTATTGTCATTGTTAGGGAAAAATTTTGAACCCTAGAAATAGCAAACACTCCACAACACGAAGTAGTTTTGGATGAGAGAGGGGGGGGCGCAATAGGAGAAGACCATTTATTCAATTTAATTCTAAAAGCACGGATAAAATCAAGCCATCGAAGAACAAAAAGTACTTTGAAGCGCCAGCACCGGCCTTTCTCTCATCGTAAGAAGCATAGAAAGGTTGCTCCAGCTCTTTGGAACCAATAAGAAGCGTTGGAGGGTAGGGACTATCGTGTGCTTAGCCAATGGGCAGAATCGTCATGATTGTTGTAGGATGTTTCGGTCTGAATAAGGAAGTGGTGTGGACGGAGCAGGATGGTTGCAGTCTAGAGCTGGGAAAGGGGTGGGAATTCAGGGTTGTTAGGGGACTTCATGGGTAGTTAGTGATGTTTGTGCCGTAGAGAAAGCCCAGGCGAGGCGAAAGGAAGGAGGCTTTCTATACAGCAGTTTCTTGAATCAAGTGATTTGTGGTAAGGAATACGTGTGTTAAGTGAGGAACCGGGAATCAAGAAGATGGGTGTGTGTGTGTGTGGTAGGGTTGAATTGGTTCTTTCTCCTCAGAATCAGTGATCAGTATGTGCTTAATATTGGAATATGCAAGAACCGGAAATAAAACATGACAGTGATATCTTAATTTCAGTTCTCACTCTGAGGAATTGGCTAATCCTTTGTGGATCTTCTCTCTTCTTCTTTTGTTTTTTAAAAAAGGAAGGAATGTTTTGGGAACTTGGTCTCTCATCTTCTTGAGTCTGAAAGATTGAGAAAATATAAGGAAAGGTGGCTAAACGAATTGATGTCTTTTCTGCTCTTCTGTATTATAGCCACCCAGCATCAACAGAACATTAAACTTGCAGCAAATGAGTTATCCCTGTTACTAATTCCTGCCCTATCTCTGTTGCTTCTTTTTAAGGTCAAAGCAATCATCTGGCTTCTCTTCTCTCCAAGGTAATGAGTAACAAGTCCTAACAGATTTTATATGCCCAAGATTGCACCTGGGCAGTGCCAGAATAAGAGAGATATATTGCATTGATATATGGTATCAGACTGCCTCGTTCAGAGGCCTGAAATTAGTTGAGAAAAGTGTCATTGAAGCACTTATTTGAATTTGTCTGCACAATTACTTGACTTTCGCTTAGGATGGCAAAATGCAACTAAGAAAGTCAGATGCAATTCTATTTTTTAAGATAATCTGTGGTCGTCTGGATGCTTCTGAAATACAGACTCCAGACTTCCTCACTTTGTTGACTGGAAGTTCGAGCTAGAAGCATCCAGAGGAGCATGGCTCTCCCCTTCCTGCCTATCCTTTAGATAACTCTTGTTTTCATTGTATTTGTTGTGCAATCTGTAGGAATGTTTCTGGATGTGCTTTGTCATATTAGCAGTTGAGCTATCTGAACTAGCACTTTGATATGAATTGGTTACTGGTTAGAAATGCATAGCCAAAAAGAATTCATTCTTTGTTGGGCTAAATTTCACCTTGAAACATTACAGAACAATATCACAAGATAATAAACTGACCACATATCCTATGATGAGTATGGTTATACCTCAGTAGAAAAAGATTTGTGCTATCTTTAAAAAGCTATCTCATTGCCAGGATATAAATGGAGTTGTTTGGAATTGTATGTTACATCTTATTTAGGGAGAAATTTGTTATATTTTGCAGCCTTCAGGTCTTTTTATTGAAGAGACAGACTTCCTAAAGTTCATAAAACATACTAAACCATTAAGTAGTTTCTTTAGTTTTTAGTAAGAAATCATTGTTGAGCAAATCACAGCTTTGTATTCTGGCTGAACAGAGTAATATTATGTGATGTTTTCTTCTTACAAGTTACTCATTAGTCTCTGGTTTTGATTACTATCCAATGCACACATCTTGAGAAACAATTTCAGTTCCAGCAAAAACTATAAACAATATCTGGGCCAAGAGCTATTTCTCTCCCTGTTTCCTGAATGATGTTATGGGGAGGGCAAATGCTTGGTTTCCTGTCACAGATGTCATCCAGCTGTTAAGGAAGAATTGTTTCAAGGTGTCTGTAATACCTTGAAGTGATGCCTCCTTGGGTGCCTTTGGATTCAACATTTGATCTGACTTAGAGGGCTGACAATATCTCATAGTTCTCAGACTAATGATTATAGGCTTTATAAACAACTATTGAATGGTGGAGAAAATAGATGTATTATTTGCAGGTTCAAATGTAAGAGAATTCTATGATATTCCATGTTTCTATGATTAATTAATTTGTATTGAGTGAATGTCTAATATTTTCTTTGGTTCAGTTTCAAAAGATGGAAGCCTTTATCAACCGTACTGGACCAGGTGGAGATTTGGAACTGCAAAACTGCGGAAGTGAACATTTCCTCTATTTTGCCTATGGTAGTAACTTGTTGCGGGAAAGAATAATGTTAAGAAACCCTTCTGTGGTTTTCCTTACCATAGCACAACTACTGGTTTGTACTATCTTTGACTCCTTTCCTAGATACCAATATTAGTAAGTAAGTAAGAAAGTAATACTTAAAGTTGTAACTATATAATACAAGGGCTGTATATTGAATATTTACTTCTGTCTCTGTTGAGTTTGTTTCTATGATTATTTTAACAGGGAGAAAAAAGTTTAGCAATGTTTATCTCTAATTGTTCTGTCCCCGTCTCACACACGCACACAAACAGTCAGCCAGGAGTTAATAAAATCAGCAGTCAGGAATTTCTTTGAGATAACAGCATTGGCAGCAACCCAGTAGCTGCTTGCCAAAAGCTTTATTCACAAAGGGAGGTTTTCCTCCTCCGTCGGATAAACCAAAATAAGGGCACAAAGCCAAAGAATTGCCAAGTCCACTCCATAATAAATCCAAGGAAGGCATATAACGAAGTTCCAGAAACGCAGTATGACTTGCTAGCTTTTCAGTTTTGTCCATCACAAAGCCTGAATGGCCACCACATCCCCTTTTATCCCCTGTGGGGTGTGGTCCAGTGACTCAGCTTAATCTCTGGCACGCCTCCTTCTCTGCTGCGCGCGCTTGTCTTTCCGACGCTGTCGGGGATCCAGCCAAGACTTATCTCCATCGCTGTCTAACTGCGGCTGCTCGGAAGTGCCTGGCTCTGGCTTATCTCTTCTTCTTCGGAAGACACTTGAGGCATTGCCAGAGAGGAGGGTCCTGGAGAGGGAGGCCTTGCCAACTCCTCTCCTTCATTTTCAGAGTCTTCTCCCTCCGATAAAACGGGCTCGGGGGTCGAAGTCACAACACTAATGTTTGAAAGCCAGTTAGTTGCCCAATTAGTTGTTTGTTGTTGCAAGTATTCAAAACATAGATTTCAAGTCAATTTCCACCTACAGAAATGTAGCTTGTTGTGGCTTTTTTCTTCTTGATCTCATTTCCTTCTGGAATGGTTTACCCACTGGGCTCCGGATGGCCCCCGACCTCCGCACCTTCCGCGCCGACCGAAAGACATGGCTTTTTCAGCAAATTTCCTGATCTGCCATGTATTTTAATCTGGGGATTTGGGGTTTTAAATTGGATTGTACCATTTTAATTCTATTTATTGTTGGATTGCTTATTTTGTGAGCTGCCCCGAGTCCTTCGGGAGAAGGGCGGCATATGAATATGACAAATAAATAAATAAATAAATAAATAAATAAATAAATAAATAAATAAATTTCTAAGTAAAAATTTCTATAGATGGAATTTTAATTAGGTATGTGTCCTAAGAAACATTTTTTTCCAATCTGCTTCTTTTGTCTTTCTAAATGTTTTATTCACTATAATATAGGAAAACAAGAAACTTAAAACTGGATATTATTGACTTTCCTGTTTTAATTCACAGGATTATAAACTTGCTTTTGGCTCTCATCAAGGGAAACCAAGTCTTCAGTGGAAAGGAGGTACAGCTACTATTGTCTATAGCCCTGGTGAAGAAGTATGGGGGATAATATGGAAAATGAATACTAGCGATTTATATTCTCTGGATAGGTGTGTTACATATAGTTCTTCCCTTGTCTATCAATGTACGCACAGTTTATATTGTTAAGATTTTATGTTGTTAAGATGTTTGTTGTATACTTCTCAAGATTTGCCCAAGCTAAAAAAAATCCTTTAATTACAGAGGTTCCAAGTACAGTACCATAGTCCTCAATTTATAATAGTTCATTTAGGGACTGTTCAAAGTTACAACACCACTGAAAAAGTGGCTTATGACCATTTTCGCACTTAAGACTGTTGCAATAGCCCCACGGTCATGTAATCACAATTCAGACTTTTGGCAACTGACTCATATTTATGATGGTTGCAGTGTCTTAGGGTCATTTGAGCTCCTTTTGTGATTTTCTGACAAGCAAAGTCAATGGGGAAGGCAGATTCACTTAACAATTGTGTTGCTAACTTAATAGCTGCAATGATTCACTTAGCAACTGTGGCAAGAAAGGTCATAAAATGGAACAAAATTCATTTAACAAATGTTTCACTTAGGATCATAAATTTTGGGCTCAATTGTGGTTGTTAGTTGAGCAATACCTCTATTGGTATCAAAATGAAATACTTACGATTACGTTAGATTAGGTTAGAATTCTTTTTTTTTTTTTATTGCAAAAGTTTTACAATTACATTTTCACCCCTTTTTCCCCCCCCGCCTCCCCCCCCAAACTTCCCTAACCCTCCCTAACCCTCCCCTCCCCCCCAGACTTCCCTATAATATATTCATACTCATAAAAAACCCTTAATATAACACTCATATATAAACTTGAACCCCTCCCTCCCCTGTATAATTTTTCTCTTTACCTCATTACATTAAAATATTTCCAATACATTATTTTCAAATAAAAGCTATTTGATACTTTCTAGTTTGATATTTGTTCTGAACATATTCTATCCACCTTTTCCATTCCCATTCATAAGTCTCTTGTGAACAATCTTTTAAATATGCTGAAATCTTCGCCATCTCTGCAAAACTGGCCATCTTCAAAGTCCATTCCTCGATAGTGGGCAAAGCTTCATTCTTCCAGTATTTACCTATCAACAATCTTGCTGCTGTTATCATATACAATATCAATTTTGTTTCACCCAATGTAAAACCCTTAACTATACCCAATAAAAACAATTGTGGAGAAAATTGAATTTTTTTCTTCAAAACATTCTGCATGACCCACCAAATTTTTATCCAAAAAGCCTTAACTTTCCTACAGGTCCACCAAACATGATAATACGTAGCATCCAAACATTCACATCTCCAACATTTTGGCTGAACATTAGGGTACATACATGACAACTTTTTGGGATCTAAATGCCATCTATAAAACATTTTATAGAAATTTTCCCTCAGGTTCTGCGACTGTGTAAATTTAACATTCTGAACCCAAATTTTTTCCCATGTTTCCAACATCACTGGTTCTTCAAAATTTTGTGCCCACTTAATCATACAATCTTTAACTAATTCAGTTTCTGAGTCCCTTTCTAGCAAAACATTATAAAGCCTTTTGATATGCATTGGACCTTTCTCTCTTATATGTCTAACCAGTTCTTCCTCGTGCAACATAATACCAGTTTTTTGGTCCTCTTTCCATTTCAATTGTAATTGATTATATTGTAACCAAGTTAAATTAATCCCTTCGTCCAACAGTGTCTGCAATGTCTTCAACTGCCATCTGCCCGCATCTGTAAAAAGAACCTCTTTGTATAAAAACCCCCCGAGTGACATTATATTTGTATTCCACAAAGTATGACCAAGATCCAGCCATAGCAGTATTTTATAATCCCATTTGAGTCGATGCTTCTTCCAAACTCTCATCAAAGAGTCTCTAAGTATATGACTTTTAAATACTTTATCAACTTTGTCATCATAAAATAAGTAAGCATGCCATCCAAATTCAAGATCAAAACTTTCTGCATTCAGTATTCCAGCCTTTTTACTTCCAAACCAATCACTTGTTAAAGTTAAAGCTGCTGCGTCATAATATAGCTGTAGGTTTGGAAGTTTAAGACCTCCTCTTTCTGGAACATCTTGCATAATTTTCAATTTCACTCTCGGCTTCTTCTCGTTCCAGACGAACTTATTCACTCCAGATTGCCAAACTTTCAATTGTTTATCACTTTTAAGCACCGGAATCATTTGAAACAAAAAAAGAAATCTTGGCAAAATATTCATCTTAACTGCTGCTATTCTTCCAAGTAGAGACAGCTGCAGTTTTTTCCAAGTCTCCATATCTTTCTGCACCTCTCGCCACAACACCTCGTAGTTATTTTGAAACAATTTCATATTTGATTCTGCAACCTGAACTCCTAGATATTTTACCTTAGGTACAGTCTCAAAACCTGCCCTCCTTTCAAGCTCATGTTTACGATCTTGTGTCATGTTTTTAGCTATCATTTTAGTCTTTTTTGGATTCAATCTAAAACCTGAAACTTTACCATAGTCTTGTATAATGTCCTTCATCAAGATTATTGATTCCATTGGTTGTGATAGGGTAACAACCAGATCATCTGCAAATGCCTTTATTCTGTAATCCTCTTGCCTAATCTTTATACCTTTCAAAATATTAGAGTCCCGTATTGTATTTAGCAAGACTTCTAGTGTTAAAATAAATAAAAGTGGGGACAACGGACATCCCTGTCTTGTTCCTTTTTCAATTTTAAACTCTGTTGTCAGACTTCCATTAATTATGATCTGTGCCTTTTGCTCTTGGTAAATTGCCGAAATCGCCTGTATAAATTGATCCCCAAAGTCCACTTTTTCAAAGTCTTTAATAGAAAATTCCAATCCACTCTATCAAAGGCCTTCTCTGCATCCAAAAAGACCAGCACTGCAGGGATCTGTTTATTCTTCTCAAGATATTCCAATAAATCTATAACTTGCCTTACATTATCCTTCATATATCTGCCCTCGATAAATCCCGCTTGATCATCATGAATCACCTTTTGAATTACTGGCATCAACCTGTTGGCTAGTACTTTCGCAAAAATTTTATAATCTGTATTCAAAAGAGATATTGGTCTATAGTTCTCTGGTTTTTTAGGACCGATTTGTTCTTTTGGTATCAAAGATATGTAAGCTGTTGTCCATGATGGGGGTATTTTACCCCCTTGCTGAATATTACAAAATAAATCTCTACGTTGTTCCACCATTTCAGCTTGCAAAGTTTTGTAATACACTGCAGTCAAGCCGTCCGTGCCAGGAGCTTTGGCTGTTTTTAACTGTTTAATTGCTACTATTATCTCCTCCTCTGTTATAGGATAATTCATTCTTTCCTTTTGTTGATCAGTAATTTTTGTAACTCTTTTATCGTTTAAATATTTTTCTATAAGTCCATTCTGCACCTCCTCTTTAGCATATAATTTAGTATAATAGTCCACAAAAGCTTCTTTAATTAATTTTTGTTGAAAAATTTCTTTCCCTCCAATATCAATACTATCAATAGTCCGTATACTTTGTTTTTTCCTCAATGTGTAAGCCAACCATCTGCCCGGTTTATTAGCGTTACAAAATGTGTTATGCTTCGCATATTGTAAATTTGTTGCAACTTGTTCCGCCATAAGCATTTGAAATTGGTCTTTCAAAAGTTTTATAGCACTACGTATTCTTTCATCTGTTGGATTTTTAATAAGTAACTGTTCTTTATTCTTTATTTCTATTTCCAATTCAGATCTTTTCTTTTGTCGGAACAGTCTATGTTTAGAGTTCATGTAGATAAGTACCCCTCTCATATAAGCTTTACTTGCATCCCACACAATTTCAATTGGGGTACCTTTATTCAAATTTATTTCAAAGAATTCTTTCAAATGCTTTTTAAATTCTGTTGTATTTTTTTCATATCTAAACAAATTCTCATTTAATCTCCAAGAACGTCTCTCAACCTTATCCATCTCAATTTCTATCCATACTGGGCTATGGTCAGTCAAAGTTCTTGAAAAAATCTTTGTTCTTTTTGTCTTAACAAGTAAATCATCTGTCAACAAAATAAAGTCAATCCTAGAGAAGGATCTGTGTCTGTCAGAAAAAAAAGTATAGTCCAATTCTTTTGGATTATGTATTCTCCAAACATCTTTTAGTTCCATATCTTCTTTCATGTCAAAAAAGGTCTGTGGTAATCTGATTCTAGACTTTGCCAAACTCTTTTTATCTAATTTAGAATCAATTACTCCATTCCAGTCTCCCATAATTAAAATAGATCTGTAATCCCATTGCAATATTTTAGTATGTAACATCTTATAGAAATAGTCCTGTTGTTGATTGGGAGCATAAATCCCAATCAGAAGAATTTGGCCATTTGCTGTAGACAGTTCAATTGCTACAAACCTACCATCTTCATCTGTTTCTATAACTTTAGCTGTTAACTTTTTATTTACATAAATTACCACACCATTCTTTTTTTGCGAAGTTGAAGATATAAAATGTGTTCCTAGTTTGGAGTTTATCAAATATTTTTGATCTTGAGTTGTGATATGCGTTTCTTGTAAACAAATTATATCATTATTAAATTGTTTCAAATATGTAAATAATTTTTCCTTTTCTGTGCTGAATTCAACCCATTAACATTCCAGGATAAACACTTAAACATCATCAGCCTCTTTCTGGAGCAAAGAGCAAAATAATTGAAGATCATCCGAAAGCTTCGATAGCTCCAATCTCTTGTGCAGTACTCTTATCTGCCTCCTTGTCTTGTCTTTCCTGTTGTTGTTGTTGCTTTTGTTTAAGTAACTTAGCTTGAGCTCGAGTTATACGTTGATCCTTAACTTCAATCATCCGAACCGGGTCCAAGATTGGAGAAGATTCCAGCAAGGGCTCATCCAGAAAACCTCCTTCTGCACCTTGCACTTCTTCTAATTCCTGCTTAGACTGTTCTTGCAGTTCTCGTTGAGGTTGCTTCTCTTCACTCTCTTTAATCTCCAAAACTGTAGATGTACGTGGAGATGGTGTTCTTTCCTTAAGAATAGTAGTGTAGAAGTGCTGTGCCTTCTCCACGGTATTCAAACGGTATCTTTCTCCCTTGTATCTGAAAATTATGCCGACTGGTGCGTCCCACCGGAAAGGTATCTGTAAATTTTGCAATTCCTTAACAAGAAAACCAAATTCTTTTCTAGCTTTCAGCATTTTAGGAGGCAATTCTTTATAAATTCCAATTCGTGAGCCCCCCACTTGTACAGAAGTGTAAAAGGATTTTTGCAGGATATCGTTTCTTATTTCTCTATCTGTAAAGTATATGACCACATCTCTAGGTAATTGTCTTTGTCTGGCCACCCAAGAGTTCACTCTGTAAATTTTATCTATTTTGTGAAAAACCACATCTGGATTGACTTGTAAAATCTTAGCCAGGGCCTCAGAACAAACTTGTCTCAAATCCTGTCTTTCCTCCTCTCGAATTCCTCGAAGCCGTATAGCAAACTCCATTGCCCTGAATTGTATCATGACAATCTCGTTTTCAACTCTTTGCATTTTATTATCAACATCAGCAATTTTATAATCATTGTCTTTCATCTTAACATTAACTTCTGATTTAAGTTCTTCAACTTTATAATCAACTTTCCCAATAAATTCTGCCAGGCCAGATGCCACTTCTGATATTTTTTTGGTCACCTTGTTTTGATTCTGTTTCACCATATCTTTAACTTCATTAATTTCCTGCATAAACTCCTGATGTGATTTTTGAAGTTTATCATCTATCTCCTGATGTGATTTTTGAAGTTTATCATCTATCTCCTGTTGAGATTTTTGAAATTTATCATCCAAAGTTTTAGAAATAAATTCTTTTAAATCTCCCACATCAAATTCTTTTTTCTGAGTCTGTAACTGTTGAGCAGGGGGAAGCTGCGTTTCATGTTTGTGTGTGGGGGATCCCCCCCCCTGTTGCCTTCCCTTCCTGCTTCTTTGAGGCCATCCTGCCACGTAGGCTAGTTTTTCTGAAGAGGGAAGTTCCTTTTCCTTTCCCTCCTGCACAAAGACTTCTAAAAAAGTCCCCCAGATTTAGTCAAATAAAACTGAAGTAAAACAAAGTCAAATTTTTAGAAAAAGAAATTTTTTCTTTAGGTAAAGCAACTTTGTAGCAGCTTTGTAGCTTTATAGCAAAGCAGGAAGGCTTCACAAATCCACTTTCACTAGCTCGTTAACTCAAATGCTGGGCGCCATATTTTTTCAAATCACTTTCACTCACTCGCTTTCTCTTTTGAATTAAAAAGTCAACAAAGCACTAATACTTGCAATTTTCAAGTTTCTGGATTCAAGTTGGTATTTCCGCTGTTTGTTAGGGTTAGTTCCTTTCACTTTAAAAGTTTGCTGCTGCTGGCTTGTTCTGCTGAAGGCAGAATCGTCCCACGCCGCCCGGAGTCTCCGCAGGTTAAGAGGGAGCCGCGCCTGTTTTCTCCCCCAGAAACAATTCCCTGGGGGGTTACAGGGGCTCAACCTGTGCCCTGCTGTCTCTGCTCCTACAATCTTCAAGATTTCGGAGTTTTCGAGCCGCTCCTCGTTCGCGGGGCGGCTCTACAGGCGGCGGGGCTGGCGGTCTTTAAAAAAACACCGCCGTCGCCGAAGCTTGCAAACCGGAAGTCCAGGTTAGAATTCTTTATTGGCCAAGTGTGATTGGACACACAAGGAATTTGTCTTTGGTGCATATACTCTCAGTGTACATAAAAAGAAAAGATACATTCGTTAAGAATCATAAGGATGCTGGTCTCATCTCCATTTGAGCAAAGCTAGAGTTTTAGTGGATTATTATGTAATAGGATTCCAAGGAGCAATTCTTTAAAAAAGTATATTAAAAATGTTTTTTTTTCTTTTGTTCTTTCATGTACATGTAGTACTAAGTTTTCATTTAGCAGCTGAGATAGCTATTTCCTGAATGCAGCCTTAACTATTCAAAATTGGACTTTGTTTGCATATTCAGTTTCAAGAATGATTGAAAAGGGTAATCTTTTAAGTCACATACAAAGGGATGTTACTTAATTATTTGCTGAAGAAATAGCTGCTTCCAGGGGGTATATATTTGCTCTTATTTTAGTTATTTACTTGCCATGGCATTTCTTTCTCCATTTCAGACAAGAAGGAGTAGAAAATGGCATTTATATTCCAATTGAAGTAACAATTCAGACTCAGGATGAGAAAATAGTTAAATGTCGTAGTTATCAGATGAATGACTATGTCCTTGATCTTCCTTCTCCACAATATAAGAAGGTACTGTATTGCCTTTTGCAATTCTATGCACTAAGGATTCATTTCCCCCCGGAAGTTCATCATCTAGGACCACATGTATAATTTAAGTGTAATAGAAGGAACCTAAGAAAAAAGTAGCTGGTTTCACGTAAAAGATAAAACTAATTTCAATACTATTACAGTTAATTTAATAGTATTTAATAGTATTAAAACTAATTTCAATACTAATACAGTTACAAATATGTGAGTATATTTGATTTATGAGATAATTATCAAGGGTATATTAATAATTATATGTACATAACTGGCCATATTGATCAATAATAAATTTTACTGCAAGCAATAAAGCTTTGCAATACAGTTTACTTTGGTATCATAGCTGAGTTTTCTGCTGTGTAGGACTTTAACTCAGAATAAATTATAAAAGACTACTCCATGTTTACTATAGATTCTCTTAAGCCCCTATCCTTCTCTCTCTTTCTCTCATTGGCATATATCTATGAAACATTTGTTGCATTGAAATAAAGTGTTTCTGTTTGCATGTTATATTGGGGTTTACTGCTTGGTACAGTGATCTAGCCAAACATCTTACTTTTCATCTCTGAAAACTGGCAGTATTGATCAGACATATGGAGTCTTGCATCATGTTGGGCTAATGGCTTTTCAAAAACTGCTTCCCTTTATTGTAGCCATGACTGTAAAGGAGGGGTTTTCTGAAGCTTTGTATTTTTTATTGATCCTCCAGAAAAATATTTTAATAATCCTGTTGACTTGAATCCATTGCAGAGCCATCTTAGATTGCAATCACCATCTTATATTCACATTTTTTTCCAGCACATAACTGATGCTTGGACTGTAAATGGATTTGATGTAGAATTGGTTGCAAGTCTGAATACAGGTTGACTTACAACAGTTCATTTAGTGAATATTCAAAGTTACAACAGCACTGAAAAAAGTGACATGACCATTTTTCACACAACCATTGCACCAAGGCAGGGGCCTGCAACCTTAAATTCTCAAAGAGCCATTTGGGCCCGTTTCCCACAGAAAAGAAAACACCGGGAACCACAAAACCTGGGTTGCCAACTCAACGTCACTCCCATCTATTCACATTATCCCCCAGCCATGCCTACCCAGGTTTTGTGGTTTCCAGTGTTTTCTGTGGGAAATAGGTCTCTCTCTCTCTCTCCCTCCCTTCCTCCCTCTCATTTCTGTTTTTCTCTCTTTTCCCCCCCTCTCTCTCTTTCTTTTTCTTTTTCTTCCCTTTTTTCTCTCATTTGTTTCCCTCTCTTTTTCTTCTCTCTTATTCTCTCCCTCCAGCTCTCTCTCATTTCTCTCTCCCTCTTCTCTGTGTCTCTCATTTGTTTCTCTCTTTCTTCTCTCTCCTTCCATCATTTTCTCATTTCTCTCTCTCTTTCCTCCCCTTTTCTCTCATCTCTCTCTCTCTCTCTCTCGTGCACATGCATGTGCACAAGCGGGATAACCTCCTGGGCTGGGATCATGGCAGTGGTGACAGCAACTCCTCCTCCTGCTGCCACCACTGCACAGTCAAGTGAGTAGCCGGCTGCATTGTGCAAGAGAGAGCTCTTCCCTCTCTGCATCTGATGGCGGCGGCTGCTCCTCCCCATTCCCCTCCTTCCTGAGCCGACATGAAGGAGACCGTGGCTGGCGCTGAGCTGCCCGCAAAGGACGTGGAATCACAAAAAGCTGGTCATGGGCAATGTGGAGAAAACACTAGGGGCGCTTCAGCCGCACGGAGAGAGGCTCGCACCTTTTCGGGGTGGAGAGCAGGTTGCATGACCGGGTCAGGCCAGTGTCTTGGGGTGGAGAGCAGGTTGTGCAACTGGGTCGGCACGGAATCACAGGAGAGGAATCTAAGAGCCACATGCGGCTCTGGAGCCACGGGTTGCCGACACCCGCACTAAGGTCATGTGATCAAAATTCAGACACTTGGCAACTGTTTGAGATATTTATGACAGTTGCAGTGTCCTGGAATCATGTGACTACCTTTTGTGACCTTCTGACAAGCAAAATCAATGGGGAAGCCAGATTCACTTAACAACTCTGTTACTAACTTAACAATTGCAGTGATTCACTTAACAACTGTAACAAGAAAAGTTGTAAAATGGGGCAAAATCCACTTAACAAATCTTTTGCTTAGCAGAAAAATTTTGAGTTCAATTGTGGTTGCAAATCAAGGATTACTTGTATATGTGTGGTAGTAAGAAAATGAAAGGGATGATTGACAACTCTTCATTTATATTTTCAAGTAAGTCGGCCCTGAAATTCCTTCCAGCCTTTACCTAACATTCTTGTCCATGGGGAATGAAAAGGTGTTTCTTCCAAGATTCTAATCTGCAAAGCAAAAGATGGGGGGAAAAATCAATCTTTTATCTTTTTTCTCTACTCCTGGTTTCTTTTTACCCAGGGAAATGATGACAAAGACGCCTTGTCCAAATATTTCTGGAAATAATCTGTCAATATTTATATTTGATTTTTTTAAAATCAAGTTTTATTGATTTTTTTCTTTCACACACACATATTTTATGAACAAAGTATTGACCATATCATAACTTATACAACTTATCATATCCAATTTAATTTTACAGAGTTACCATTTTTGCCAAAATATTCTTTTTCCATACTTTTTTTTATCTTAATACTTCTATACTTATTATATAAACAGCATTACCATCCGCCCTCAAATCCTAGTTTCTTAACATTATTTCAATTAGTTATCTTATCCATTGTTAATCATATATATTCCCTTTTAACTTTCATATTAATTCGTTCTTCATCTTAATCAATTTGCACATTCTTGGGGTTGCCTTTCTACCATTTCATCTCTCTTGTTTTACAACAATTCTTCTTCTCCTCTCCTCTCTTTCTCTTCCCTCCCTTCTTCTATCCTTTTCTACTTTACTCTTTCCTCCTCTCCTACTCCTTTTGTACTTCCCCTTCCTTCCCCCACTCCTCTATTCCTTCCTCCCTTTCTAATCTTCTCTCCTACTCTTATTTCCCCTCCCTTTCTTCCTCTCCTTTTCCCTTTCTTCTATTCCTCTCTCTCCTTCCTCTCTTCTCCTTCTTCCCTCTACTCCTCTTTCCCTTCTCTTTCCATTGTTGTATTCATTTTCGATTCAATATTTTCCACAATGGTATCCAGGCAACCCCGATTTCCCCCCTCTCCCACTTATTAACTATATTTTTCAAAGTCCCCATCACATTTTTAAATTATTAACTATGTATTTCAACTCAATTCTATTTTTACATTGAAATCTTTTAACTTAATAAACCTTCCACCTCTTATTTTCCTTAGTTCCTAATTTCTTATTCCAACATTAATTAGTTATTTTCCTCATTTACTAGCCTTTCAATTTTATATCTTAATTTCAGTTATTTTCACATTTAAACCAATCTTCATTTTATGTTGCATCTGCTAATCCATTTTACAATAAACAATATACAGTATTTCTTCTTTTTTACTTCTTACTTACATCATTTACTAGCATTTCAATTTTGTATCTTAATTTTCATTATTTTCATATTTAAACCAATCTATATTTCATATTACATCTGCTGATCCATTTTACAATAAACAATATACTTCTTGTTTATGTCTTACAATTTCTATTATTAATACACTTCCCTTAAATCAACTATTTGCTTTATTTCCCTTCCTTCTCTCCATTATTCTTCCCCTTTTACCCATTTTCTTTTGGTCTCTCCAAAATTCTACTTCTTAATATTTTTCTCCCTTTCTGCCATTCTCTTATTTTCTTCTTTTTCTTTTTCTTTTTATATTTATTGTATCTTTTCCCCTGAATCCTTTCTCTCACTTTAAAAATTGTTACCCTTTTAATTCTCCCCCTCAGTCTTTTCCCATTTCTTTCTCTTCCTTTCTGTTTTGGGTGATATTCCCCCCATCCACATTTTGTTTTTCACTTTCAATCCCAGTATAATCTTCAATTATCTTCCTTTCAACATTATGTTCTTGCTTCACATTTATATTCTCTTTTTCCTTTTTTTGTATTCTAACCAGATTTCCACTTCTTTATCACCCTTAAATGCTTCACGCACCTTCTTAAACATTTCCATTAATTCCTCATATTCCCAATGTTCCATATTATCAATTCAATTTTTTTAATTTTAATTTATATGTAGTTAAAATTCAAGTCCATATAGTGTTCTCTTTTTTTAAAATTTCCTAATAGTAATCAATTCAAATATTTATCTAAACCCATTTTAAGGCTTTGTTCTTCTTTTCAAGGTTGGGATCCAGCTGAAGGAGTACTTAAATAAGTACTCCTTCAATGTTTAAGGCATTTGTTGTAGTGCTTTCTTCTCTTTCCAGTTCACAAATCCCCAGGCAACAAAATATCACTTTTAAATCCACATCGAAAATACTTTCTCTTCAATTTGTTTTCCTTTTATTGTTAAAAAATGCTTTCTCTCAGTTTTCTTTTTCTTGTATTATTTCTAATTTCTCCAAATTCAATTTTAAGTCAGGTAGAAAGTTTTTTTTTTTTTTTAATTTGATTTATATGCCGCCCTTCTCCGAAGACTCAGGGCGGCTTACAATGTGCTCAGCAATAGCCTTCATCCTTTTGTATATTTATACAAAGTCAACTTATTGACCCCACAACTGGGTCCTCAATTTACCTACCTTAGAAAGGATGGAAGGCTGAGTCAACCTTGAGCCTTGGCGAGATTCGAACCCTGCAGTAATTGCAGGCAGCTGGTCTTAATAACCAGCTTAATAACAGGGTGCCTTAAACCCCTGTACTATCAAGGCTCTTTTTGGGGGGGCTTTAGTCTTTTAACTTCCTCTTTGTTCTTCTCCCTCCAATTAACATTCCAAAGTGCCAATTAGCTGCTCATTTCATGCTAGGACCTCTTTCAAGCTTTTTCCAAAGAATTTCTTTTTACCTTTAAATTGGCCAAATCGCTCCTATGGTAACAATACTCCATTCACTCCTGCACAAGTCTTAGTCCAGTTGCCCCAATTTAGAGCAGTCGTTTTAATGGCCGACACCCCCGCCGCCGGATCAAAGAGCTGCCTCCGACCTTTCGAGGAACTTGCTTGTTCCTCTTGGTCTTCTAAGGCACCTGTCTTTCTTCACCTCCTAGACAGTTCCGGTCCAAAGACCCCCAGGCAGAGGTTTGTCTGGCTGGATTTTCGCGAACCTCATCAGAGCTTCACTATTTTCCACCCAGTCTTGCTGCAATGCTTCAGGTTCTCTCCAGCATTTATATTTGTGTATTGTAGTGTAAACAGTTCAGGTTGTATAACCTGCTATGAAATTTAATGTTACTGCATGTCTGGAATAGTTTTGCTGGCAATTAATTGCAAGCCCCAATGTGGTAATTACAGATTAGCTTCATGCCAAGACATTTATGTCCTGATCTTTGCATTTTGACTCTTTGCACATTACACTAACAGAGGCTGTTCTCTTATCCTGAAACATGCACGAGTCTATTCCTCTTCATTATATGTGCTTCCCATAGTATTGGACCAACATAAACATTCTTTTACATTCTAATATTTAACCACAATTTTATCCCTGTGAGAATTTCTATTTTTTTTCTTATCATTCAGCTACTGAACTGTAAAATATATAAAATAGAAATCATTTATGTTATTCAATGTCACCAAGCATTTCCTTGCCAAGCTGATGTCTGGATTCCCCCCCCCCAGTATACATCTAAATTTTAAGTTACCTGAGTCCCTTCCCACCTACTATCCTCCTTTAAGATCAGACAAAGCTTTTTAAAAAAGGCTTAAGATATATTACAGAACTGTTGCCAAATATGTACGTGAAGGCAGCTAATGAATGCCACACTCAAGGCTTGCTTAGGAGTCCCCTGGCATGGTCCTTGTGGAATTCATAATTAAACTCTGACTTGTACATGGGTCACTCATTTTTTGATGAAAGTGCTGGCCTCATCAGATTTTTGTTAATGTGGAGAAGTGATCCTCATTTACAGTATCATGACCTTTTAGAGTGTCAAACTCAAAGCCTGGGGGCCAGATTCGGCCCACGGGGTGCTTCTGGCCCATGGGTGCTGGCCTGGAAACAGCAAAGGACTGGTCTGCGGTGCCTCTGCCAGCCGAAATGGAGCTCCCCTTTTGCATTTGAGCATGCAAGAAAGGACAGGAAAGGAGAAAGGGAAAGAGGAAAGACAAAGAAAAAGAAGGGACAATGGGAAGAGAGCAAGGAAGGAAAAATAAAGAAAGAGGGGAAGGAAGAAAAAGAATGAAGAGGGAAGTTTGCACAAAATTGGAAGAGTAATGACACACCAAGCGAAGAGAAAGTAATTAGTAAAATCATGGAATGTGCAGAAATGGACAGACTCACAAAGGAACTTCAAGATAAAGAGGAACATGATTACTATTTAGTATGGGATAAGTGGTACAATTGGTTGAAAGATAGGAAAAGGAAAAAACAGGATTAGGAGGCAGCCAGTGGAACCCAAGACAGCTATAGAAATACACATTATTCAATATAGGCCAATAGGGACTTAAAAAATTTAGACACAATGTAAAAGACCCAATTAGGGAAGAGTCAAATATACAAATGAGAATTATATAACAGATCACAGTTGTGATAACTTCGACCTCTTTTTTTGTTTACATGTTTTGTATGTTTTGTTATTACTTGTCTTGTTTTGTTTGTATTTTTAAATAAATAAAAATTAATTAAAAAAAGAATGAAGAGGGAAGGAAGGAAGGAGGGAGGGAGGGAGGGAGGGAGGGAGGGATGAGATTATAATGAGAGTGAGGGAGGGTCTCAGGGAAGTGCTGCCTTAGCACTTGGCCACCACAGGTGCTCCCGACATGACCACCACAACCATGTCAACCGAAGTCAGACAAACTGTGATGCGGCCCTCAATGAAATTGAGTTTGACACCCCCGTTTTAGAGAATAGGTAATAGGTGGCTGTAATGACAATAAATACGTGACTATCTCATGAAATTGGATTCATTTTTATTATTTTTAAAATACTTCCTTAACTTGAAATTCAGTGGATTCTATGCAATGAACTGTAAGTGCTTTTGTATCTCTGTTGCTCAAATTATACCAATACCAAGAATGATTTATATTGACTTCTTAATGGAGCTAATGAATGCAACCAGCTGGCTCTTTCCCACTATTTAATCTTCAGGTTTGAAGCAGCTATATTTCTTCATCCTTATTCCATTTATTTGTGTAAGTAACAGAAATCTAATGATGGAACCTTTCTATTTTTGTTCTTATAGGTCATCTGTTTGGGTGCAAAACAGAATGAATTGCCAGTGGATTATCAAAAGAAATTAAATTCTATAGAGACTAACAACTCTGCAGGACCTGTACCAATGTTTGAGGAAATTGAAGCTGCTCTCAATTCATCAGGGAAACAAAATAATGAAGATCAATTTTAGTATAATTTGCTTTTACTGTCTTGGCATCTTGTGTGTCTATTTCTCTTATATTACAATAGCTTAGATATAATTCAGGGGTGTCAAACTCACGACCTACAGGCCACATGCGTCACACGCTAGCCATGCCCATGCCCGGTTTAGTGAAGGGAAAGAGTCATGATACGTCACGTGACAACTCTGTGGCGATGCAAGTTTGACACCCCTGATATAATTAATATCAAAATAACGGGAGGATACTATATACATATACACCATAAGGTATAAGATGATATTTGATTATTGCTTTCCTTTATCTTTTTCTGTTTCTGTTTTTCTGCAATAAATTGAGACTAGGAATGATTTCCAAATTGTGCTTCAATCTGAAAGTTTCTGCACCATTTCAATCCAGTTTACAGGTGGATTGGGTATTATAGGTAGCCCTTGTTTAACAACTTTTAGTTCAGCAACCAAAATTACAATAGCACTGAACAAATGCTAGTTATGACCATCCTCCTTATGGTCATTGTAGCACTCCTATCATCATGTAATCAAAATTTGGGCATTTGGCAGCCCACCCACATTTATGATTACAACATGTGCTTCAACTCACCCCATTTTCCTATCTCCCATTGCAAAGGTCAGCTGTCAAATGTTTCATTTAATTACCACTTAGCAATGGAAATGCCATCCCAATCTTAACAATTAGGGTTGTTAAGCAAGGACCAAATGTAAGGTATGTTAACTTTGCTGTGATAGTTATTATACTAGCCTCCAGTCATCAAGCTTTTTAAAAAGCTGATTTAATCACTACTCATTTTTCTGCATTAAAATTTATATTACTGAACTGGGAATTGTTTCTTGTCTTGTAAAAATATATATGCTATTTATAAATCCAAGAAATTCCCTTTTCATATTAAGAGATGTCCCTATGTTGGACAATTTTGGGGTTTAGAATAGAGAAGGAACTTGTAAGAAAAAAGATATTTAATACAGCTGCAGTACCTAATAAAATGGATCAAAAATATGTTTTTTATAGATTAACAGTTGCAGGACATTTTGTGCAGTGTTATGAGTGTCCAACAACATGGATCTTTGTAAACAAATGCCCTCACCTTGACCAGCAAGCCTTTCAAAACTTAGTGGAGGTGTTCAAAGAACAGCCTATAAAGATATTCTGACTTGACTTTGGGAGACAAGAGGGAGAGCCACAGACTGGACAATGGCTTGCAAAAGATGCCTCAGCCCACAGGAGGGAGGACATGGCTTTTGTCTCAGAAGGGACCCATCCTAGTTTTGCAAAGAGCAAAAGGAAAGATGGGAAAATATGGTCTTGTAAACTTATTAATCTAAGCTTCCTTTAAACCTTAGTTGTGCTAAGAAGTCTTGAAAGCTACATATTGTGATTCTATGACATACATGGGTAAGGTTTAAATTTTATAGAGACGCATAGACTTCTTGTTTTTAGGCAGCACTGCTGGTTTTAACAAGAACTATACTATGAAGTGAAATTCATAAAATTTCAGGCGCGAGGACCTCTGCCGGCTTCCTTCCAGTCCTGCAGAGGGCACGGCGAGGCTGACCCACGTCAATTGGGAGGACTCGAAGGGCTGTCCTGGCAAGGATCTCGGGGGCGGGGGTTTCGAGTGAGGAAAGGCAGGGCGTGGAGTTTCCCCTCCTTTGACGCTCAAGTTTTCGCCGCGCCCGCAGAAAGTCCGATTAATGGGCCCCGACCCTCGCACTGCCTCTGGTATTCTTTCTTTCGCCAGCCCTGTCTATCCGCATGCAGGTATGCTTGAAGTGCGCCCCGAGGTTGGTGGAAGTGTATAGAACGTATGAAAACAGACGGGGAACAGGAATAAAAGGCCCCTGGGGTTGCGGAGACAGGAATTTGGACCTGAGGCCTGGCAAAGAAGCGTGAGTAGGGCTCAAGTGACTTTCGCTTCATTGTAGTTGCGCTGCTCGTTGGGCGAGGCGAGGCGAGGCGAGGCAACGAGGGCTGCATTAAGCATCTTGCAAACAGCCCAAATGCAACTCGGAAAAGGAGAGATCAGTGCTCTTTTCTGCAGATCCTTGAATAGTTCTAAGCGTCTTGGGAAGCAGATTGCCGTTCGAATTGCTAACTGGCACTGGAGAAGCGCGCGAGTAAATGTATGTGCCTTAAAAGTTCAAACCGATGAAATTGTTGACGGTCTCAGAGTCTGACAGTGAGGGCATCTGTTCTGTCTCTTGGGTAGTTGTAAAAGGGAAGATAGGCTGTTAAAACCGAAAGTGCAATTCCTGCTTTGGAACGCCTGGCAGAAAAAAAATGTGAACCCTTCATGAAAAGGGGAATAGACTATATTAGTGGAGAAAAATGTCAATTTACAAGCTTGGGAGAAAACAGTCTCCCAAAACCTGTGGTACTCTATTTCCTTTTCTCAGAAAGCCAGAGTTTATTTAAATCAGGTTAGAACATTGGCTAAGATTCACCTGGCATCAGATGCTAACAAACTGCAGTGCTTTAAACTCTTGTGAGTTTTGATCAAAGGGTATGGTGTAGATAAGACTGATGCTTAAAAGTATGTGCCAGCCTTCTCTAAATGAGACCTCGGAAAATGTATTGGGCTGAAACTACTGTCAGATGCAGGCAGTAGCAAGATCAGGAGCCAGCATTGTGAGGCAGACTTATTGCTGATAATAAGATAGGAAGTCAAATTCTATAACACGTCAAGGAGATAGAAGGGAACTCCCTAGCAGTATCAATTCCAGTAGCAGAACCAGTTTTTAACTTTAATTCCTAGCATGGGATCATAGCCGCACAACCATGGAAAGTAGCTTGAATTTGGTAGGTGACTTCCTACTCACCACACAAGTGGTGGTGGATTATCTACTAAGTGACTCAAAATTACAAGCTGTTGTTGCTGCAAGGTATGACACAATTGTGCTGAAGGAGCTGTGAATGCAAGCTGAGGACTTAAGAAGAGAAGAAGGCAGGTTAGAGACACTAACCTAATGTACTTCAGGGATCAGCAGTATAGTACTTAAGCAGATATTTGAGGCTACAATATTAACAATCCCCTGGCATTGTGTTAACTGATTGGAGAGGAAATTCAAGACACCAGAAGGGGTCAGTTGCATGCCATAAGCCTAGTATACTAGTTAGACAATTGGACAAGACAGGCCCAGAATGAAACCCTATTTAGTCATGAAGTTGTCAGACTGAGTTTGGACTAATAACTGTGTCTCTCAGATTAACAGTTATTTCACCATCGCAACAACTAGCACAGATGTTAGCTTTTGCATTTCTGTCAGCTGCCTGTTTTCTAGAAGAAACATCTTAAATCTAAGCTATAATTTGTGGTTAAGCAGTTCAGCAAGACTATAAACTGACCAAAGGTGAGTAGAGTAAGTAGAGTTTCTTATTGGCTAGGGCCGTGATAAGGAACCTATGAAACGCGTGCCAGAGGTGGCACGCAGAGCCCTCTCTGTGGGCACACGTGCTGTCGCCAGCTGCTGTTCTGGTTTCCGGCGTGTGCATGTGCGCTGCCCGCTGGTCTTCACGTGCACTGGAGCTCTGGAAACTCAAAGACCAGCACTCCGGCACTTGTGAAGACCAGCTGGCCAGTGTGCATGTGTGCACTGGAAATCCAAAGACCAGGTGGCTGGCATGCACATGCGCACTAGCCAGTTCAGTGGTGAAATCCACTTACTTTTGCTACTGGTTCGGGAACAGGAGCGCGTGCACACTATGTGACATGCTATGCATGTGCACGCTAGAGTCTTCTGTACATGCACAGAGGGTAAAAAATGGGATGTAATGACATCCTGGTGGGTGGGCGGAGCCTCCCGCCGCTGGCGCTACCGGTTCGCACGAGCCGGATAAATCTGGCCGGATTTCACCACTGGGCTACCTGGGTTTCCGGCGTTCCGCACACGCTCTGGTTTGAGCACTCGGTGCTGAAAAGGTTCACCATCACTGGGCTAGGGTGTACATGGAATGGATTTTAAGCTCTGAGTTAAGAGGAAACCCAAATTAGTCTTAACTAGTTTAATTTTCTTTCTTTTTTTTTATTGAAAAGTTTTACAAAAAAGAAATACAAAATTCCCCCCCATGTTCCCCCCACCCTTTCCCCCCCTTCATCCCACCCTCCCCCCACTTCCCAGAGCAAAATACAAGGTATTTCATTTAATCAAACATAAACTAGATTAATCTACTTATCCTCAAAGTACTGCCTTCCCCACTGAAACCTTAACTCCACTACAGATAACCAAATACTTCTAATACTAACATTCATCCATAAGCTATTTGATATTTTCTTGTCTGATACTTATTTTGAATATAATCAATCCATCTTCTCCATTCCGATACATATCTTTCTTGCGTGTGGTCCTTCAAATACGCCGAGATTTTCGCCATTTCTGCTAGGTTTGTTACTTTCAATATCCACTCTTCAATAGTAGGCAAAGAGTCCTTCTTCCAATATTGAGCTACCAGCAGCCTAGCTGCTGATATTAAGTTCAAAATCAATTTAGTCTCTGAAACTGTATAGTCCGTAATTATACCCAATAGAAACAATTGAGGAGTAAATTTCAACCTTCTTTTCAAAATGTTCTGCATCACCCACCAAATTTTTATCCAAAATGCCTTGATTTTCTTACAGGTCCACCATATATGATAATAGGTTGCATCACTACATTCATATCTCCAACATTTAGCTTGCAAATTCGAGTACATACATGATAATTTTTTAGGATCTCAGTGCCATCTATAAAACATTTTATAAAAATTCTCTCTCATATTTTGTGCTGGCGTAAATTTAACATTTCTGACCCAAATCTTTTCCCACTAGTTTAATTTTCTTGAGGTGCAACTGTGGGAAGCAGTGTGTCTGTATTGAAAGAATTCAGTTCATCACAAAGACACAGTTCACACAACTGATTCTCACTGCTAAATAATTTTATTTGAGAGCTTTCAGCGTAAAAAAGTTTTCCAAGAGAACTGGCTCCTTGTAATAAAAAATATATTTTATTTTCTTCTTATCCATCTCTGTGTGTAAAATATCAGCAATGAAAAACTAACATTAAATGAGAATTGGAAACAACCTTCCCTCTGCTATTGCTGTGTAGATGTAAGAATGACAACTCTCAGGATTTCCAGCTGGTATGGGTTGGTACATGATGGATGCTAGGCCAAAGATGATGAACATCTTGTTTTAAGAAAGCTTCCATTTGAGTTGCCAAAAGTATGGAAGGATTTAGCCCCCACTTTAATAATGGAATGGAAATACTGAATTTCTAAAAGTTAGGAGCCTATGATTTGTTTAGCAGTCTGAATTTGTCAACTTTTTCTTAATGTTATATTTAAGATCCAGGAGTTGGTCTATTAGAG